GTTGCCAACGCTTTTAAAAGTCGATTTTTATCGATTTTATCGATTCGTTGTTGCAGCCCTAACTGAATTACAAAAAACATTTAAAAAACAAACATCTTTCATTGATATATAAACAAAAAAGAATATTAGGAACTATATTTATCAAACATTATACTGGGCAAGTAAAAATTGTTTCTGGGCAAATGAAATGTGAAAGTCACTTGCCCGAAGGCGAAGCCTTAAGGGCTGGTTATCCTCCTGCAGCAGTGTGTCGCAGTGAGCTTGATGCAGACATTTTTGATTTATGCTCCATATTGAAGCGTGGTCTGTGCTATGTTATATTCCACGCCGCAACCCAAGAGGAATAATCAGGAACTAGATGTGGGTCTAGATACGGCCGAGGCGGTGAGGAAGTGGGGGCAAGTTTGTCCCACAAAGGAGGGACATGAGGGCGAAAAACAGCGGGGATCGCGCACCTTGCTCTTCTAGCTGGTCCAATTTCATGAGTTGTTTTCCGCAATTGCGATGATACAAACAAAACAAACCGGAAAGCGGATTTAGATTTGACCAATCAGATGCCTCCTGTCTGCAGTCACTTACAATTTGGGAGAGTTGCAGCAGAGTGTCTGCAGCGGGGGCGTGGACGTCACTGCGACACACGCAGATGACTTAGTTTCGAAGTATAAATCAGCCTTTATGCTACGTTCAGACCGCTTTGCAGAAAAGCAAAGTCAGTGGTTGACAAGCATCAAGGCACAGCTAAAGGTCCTGCATGAGCTTCTGAGCATCTGAGACGTGTAACGCGCTTTGGAAGCAGCAGCTGCTGGAGTTGGAAGAATTGTACTTATGCTGCTCGACGCGCCACATCAACCAATCAAAGAAGCTGACCTAAATTAACTTAAAATGTCGAAACCTTCCAGCAAACATAACTATCTTCTACTTATAGCCGCCACCAACCTTAGCGGAAAACCGCTAAGCGTCCGGGCAAGAGGCAGCTGTAGAACGGGACTCCCAGTGACAGCGCACCGCCGGTGTACGGGGGTCTGAGCTGCTCTGACAGCGAAATAACATTTGAAGGCAGAATTGTAATCCTGATTAACTGACTGCACAGTCAATGTTTTACGGTGGACATTTCCATTTAAAAACACATTAAAACTACTTTTTACCCACTGGTCACTAGGGATGGGGATCGTTAATATTTATTGATATCGATACCTTTATCGATACTCCTTATCGATCCGAGTCTTTATCGATACCACTATCGATACTTTTCTGTTATTTGGTGGAAAGACGATGCGAAAATATGTTTTTAACAGACAGAAATGAAGTGGGAAAAAAAATTATTTGAAGAAATGTCTTCTTTTGGTTTAAAAAAATATATACATTTTCACAATTGTTGGTTAATGTATTGTCTACTGTCACTTTTCATCATGTTTTTAGTGATTAGGAAAATATTTAGCAAATAAATAATTGTATTTTAAATTAAATGTAATTTTAATTTTTAATAAATGTTGGCATCAGTAGTTTAATTATATATTCTAAAATAATTAGAGCAACATACAACTGTATTACTCATGTTTCTTGCCAAAAACTCAGTTTCCCTTTTCTTTACGTTACACTTGAACGCATCATGATAACCTAATTGTTGTTTTACTGAGCTAATCTGAACACATCATCTCGCAGCACGTCTGAAACTTTATTTACTTTTCAAGCTAACTAGCTTGTATGCTGCAGATTACAACACGGATATCACAATTAATATTTTTAACTGACCGCACAAGCTACAAAGTCTGTGTGCGCGCTAACCAGCGGTACTCTGAGTGGATGATGAGGACGGGCCCGACTGTGGTGCGGCGGCAGGAGGAGGAGGAGGAGTCTTTTCAACCCGGACAGTCGAAGGTACTGCATTTGGCCTTTATTTGATGCACAATACTAATGTGCTTGGCCATTGAGGTTGTGTTCCCCCCTTTAAAAGAGATGATTTTGCAACATAAGTTGCATTTCGCTTCTTCTTTATCTTTGAGCTTGGTAAAATGAAGCCAAACCCTAGACCTTTTCGTCCGTTCAGCCATCCTCGAGTCGCGAGCAAAGTTACCTGCCAGACTTCACTAGTTTTACTTTTAATATCTGTTTGCTTACAATTTCATTCCAAAACATTGGTGGACACGCTGCAGTGATTGGATTGATTACATTTAAATGCTGTGACGCGACTCGAGGGACACACAATTATGTTACAGGACCTCCGGGAGAAAAAAAAAAACGACCAGACTCGATAGTGGTATCGATAAGCCCAAACGTTATTGATTTTCGGGTTTTGAAAAAAGTGGAACCGGGTCCTTGATGGAACCGGGTTTCGATCCCCATCCCTACTGGTCACAGCACATCTATAGCTGCCATCGTTACAGGCAAACAGTAGCTCCTCACAACGCGCATCAGACCCACTTTTCGACCGCGCAGATAGAGAAGCTAAGATGCTTCAGCGGCGCGCCAGAGATAAACTTGTACAAGCATCAAAACCGAAGGAGCGTTTTTTGCCGCGTGCGGTCCCAGTATAGCATTAGAGTTGTTATAAGAGAGATCAGAAGCAACATGGCAGATGAGCTGAACCCACCTGGGCTGCTTAACACCTCAGCAGAACCAGAGAAGGATCTCCATGGTGTCACAGTGCGTGCCAAAGGAGCCCAGTGTGAAAATAAATTCCAGCACACAGAAAAACCCCTTAATAAAGTTATTAATGTTGGATTTTTATTAGCTGGTTGATTTTACTGATGTTCTAATTTACTGAGATCCACTCGTATAATGAAATTTGGAGCTAGTGGTTTTCTGACCCCACAGGTCAGACATGAGGAAACCAGAGAAGAGGCAGCAGAGCAAGGGACTGTAGTTGACAGAATAGGAGAGTGAAGAAGCTCCACTGGGTGGAGGTGGCGGTGAGGCGTCATGGCTTGGCTGTTTCCCGCCCTCATCCCCCTGCAGACCTTTCAGGGGAGGGGAGGACAAGCAGTAAAAGCAGACACCGTAGATGGGTGTCTTACCTTCCTGCTTACCTTCCGGCTGTACCGCATGTATGGCATCAGAGGCTTGTCTGGAGGTTTGGGAGGCTTTGGGACGGTGATCCCTGAGGAGTTCTGTGGAGAAAAAACAAAGGAAGGAAGAGAGGAGGAAGGTATTTCAGATGGGACAGCATGACAGGGAGGGGAAGAGGGGAGACAAAAACACCGTAAAAAGGTAGCTCATTGGTTGGAACCAGGAATGGGCCGGTGTCTGCCATGAAAGGGGATAAAAAACCTAAACTTTACCAAGGATGGCAGAGGAACCGCTGAAATGATTCCTGAACCCCCCATACTTACATCAAGCTAATAATGAGCAGTTAGAAAGCTGTGTGTATGTCAGTTCTGCGCATGAACGGCGTTCAGTTTTAAAGTAATGAACGCGAGCGAAAGCGAAGTTCACTGAGAATATGGAGCGACAAACACAGCCCACATAGGCGCTCAATTGGTCACTTTTGATTGGATAACATCAGGTTTTACGGCACCTATTACAGCAAACAGCCTGACAGAACAGCAGGTCTACTGCTAGTACCAGTCTGCTCCATTCAGACTCAGCTGCTGGGATTTCTGATGCTTGTTTAGCAGAGTTTGATCAAAGGAAGACTGGGACAGAAAAAAGGTTAGCTTTAAGTGCAAACTGTGGCTCCCGGGACTAAAAATAGCCCCAACGTCAGCCATGTCCACTTCAACTTTAAAGCGAGACATGAAGTTAAAGCACGTGAGCTATCTGAGAAAATATCTGCTACTGAATGAGGAACGGAAGAAATTATTTAAATCAAGATCTTTTCAGCAGAACCTGAATGTTTCTGAAGTTTTGTGTTATTTGACAAAAAAAAAAAAATTTCTCTGCACATCCAGTAAACCTTGACTGCATCCAGTATTTTCCATTTCTTTCTATATTATCATCACACATTGAAAGGGTGAAATATGAGGTTCTATTGTGGCTCATGGGGAGTTAGTCTACTGAGTTAGAGCAGTGCTCTATGAAGGTTGCAAGCGCCTGGTTCGAATCTCCACAGCCTCTATTCTGGGTCTCTGAGCAAGATCAGTAACCCCACACTGCTCTCAGGGCGCCGCACAATGGCAGCCAACTGCTCCCCAAGGGGATGGGTTAAATGCAGAGTGAATTTCCCCATTGTGGGACAAAAAAGGGATTTAGAGTAATCTACCAAATAAACTTGAACTAGTTCTTTTTTAATTTTCAAAAAACGTAAAAAAAAAAAAAAGAAAACAATCAACTGGACTTTGTTTCCAAGTTTAAAGTTGTTTCTCTTCCATCCAGGAAGCTTTTTCAGTTCAAAATGTTAGAAATGGCGCTGAGTTCCTGGTTTTATACAGCAGCCCAACAAAGCCTGGTTTTTGCTTAGAAAACATAAAAATTGAACCGGATGAATGGGTCCACCCCTTAGGAATGGGGGTCATTTGGCTTTTTTTTTTTTGCCTGTAATGCTCCATACCTGTCTTTGACTTTGAAAGGGTTTTTTTAAAGGGAATTGCTGGCCTGAATGAATAGGCCAAGTCTTCTGTTCACCTGTAAAGGGGGGTTGGGGTTGAAATGATAGCAGTAAGAGATCAACTTAATTGCTGCATTGTAGGTTTTTGAAAACCTGATGGGAAGAGAAACATCTTCAGACTTGGAAACAAAGTCCAGTGGATTGCTTTTTAATTAGCTAGCTCAATTTAAAAACCGATTCCCAGCTCCACTGGGCAGCTAAATCCTTCATGTAGGCTTGCATGATTTCAAGAAAACAAAAGATAAACATGATGACCAAGTAAAAAGCATCGGCTTTGGAGGAAAACCTAAACCTGCTACGTTCGCCCTGTGTGGAACCACATGGTGTTTAAGTGGGGCAGACGGCGATGACATTTACAACCAATAGGCATTTGAGGAAAAAAAAAACAGTGGGTTTCACCAGAGGAGCTCAGGAGAACAGAAAATCAAAGAGTGGTCTTCTTTCAGCTTTTTCAATGATTCACTGAGTTTTAAAATAGTTTCTGAGCAAATCTAATTTTTTGCCTCCCCTAAACAACCTTTTCAAGCTATTTTTAATACAATGGCTTAATTGTGGTTGGAGGTTCAAGGTTAAAATTGACAAACCTGAAGCAAGAAATTCAGTAGAACTACATGATGCTCCCAGAAACGCTGATTTAACCCATCATGTTATTTCCCAGCTCCACAAGATATACAAAATAACAAAGATCGGTGTTCCGTAGACCGAGCCTCCACCTGCCAATTTATTTTTATTTGTTTTTAATTGAAGCAGGAAGAATCGGATGCAAGCGGCGTGTTCCAGCGTATTCCAAGGGGAACCAATTATGTCACACACTCATCTTCTGTCTCAGACTTTCTGTGTGTTAAAGTTGAAACACTTTAGACGTTAGTGACCTAGGCGTTGATAAGCCATTTGGTGCTTTTAATAAAAACAATTAGAAGTTTCCTATCAGATTAAAAGCTTTTTATTACCAAAGCAATACTAAATAAATATGTGGAGAAGTTCTCACCGGCCCATGCCTCATCCGTACAGCAGGAAAAACAAATTACACAAAAACAGTAAGCTTTTTAAAAAGCTTCATTGCTGCGATTAACGGCCTTTTAACCAGGTCAGCTAGTCTGGAATAACGGCGTAAAATGAATGGAAGGACTGCCTATGACAACAACAATGAAAAGCTCATGTAGAGAGAAGCAACAACAACCTCTTTAGCATGTTCCCTGAAACTCCCTGAATATTTTATTCCTTAAAAAGAAATACAGCATCCTACCCCACCCTCCCTCCCTCCCAAATCAGATCCTCCATCCGTTCATTACCCTGCTGGAGCCTCCGGAGCTCCCTCCCAGCCGGAGGTTGTTGTAGGCCAGATGGCTGTAAGGGTTGTAGCCCACAAACCCTGGGGTGGAAGGCATTTGCTGATGGAAGACAAATGAGACAAAACACGAATGAGAAATGGCTCACAAACAAGAGGAGGAAGAGGAACAAACGAGGTGAAATAAAAAAAGGAGTGGAAAACATGAGCCATTGTTTCTGATGACCTCATCATGCAGAGCAAAAAGACACGACTAGCCAACGAGCAAGCAAGGAAAAGAAAGTCTAAAACAAGCACTCGGGTCTGCTAATGCTACGGAGGAGAACTTCCAGGTTTAACTACACCCCCATCGGGATTATGCTCATGTCTGTTTGAGCACCTAAATAGTTTTATGATGGAGAAGCAGGAGAGAAAGCGGTGATGGAGATTGGTGGCAACTTTAGACAGAGAGAAGGAGAAATGGAAAAGCAAAGGGCAGAGTGGAAAAGCAGCACAGCTGTTGGCCACAGAGTAGAAACAACAGAGCTGAGACCATCACTGAAATACTTACTGTGGTTGGGGCAGGGGGGGGAGGTGGAGCGTAGGATGGGCGCTCTGCAGGAAAAAAAAAAAGAAGAAAAGCAAGACAACCTGCGTTATGATCACAGTGCTCCAAATTCCAGCTGGTTTGAAAAAATAAAAATCAGAACAAAAAGCCAACATAGGACTTTATATTAGCATCAGTTAGATGTTTCTAGATTATTTTCTACAGAGCGAAGCCCTGTAACGTAAACAGAGAAGCTCAACAGAACCCTGAACCCATTTGCCCTCCGTTTCATCTGTTTTCAAAGGTTTCTGAGGCAAAAATATCCATAATAAAGGAACGGGGACCAGATGAGCCTGGAGGAGACTGTTGCTATGACACCAGGACCATCATCACTTTAACATGAGGTCTTTTGGAAATCGTATTCATCTAAAGATACAGGGATATACCTGACCGCTAATGGTCATGCTAATGGTGCTAACCACACACCTGCTGATGTTCTTAAAAATCTTTGCAAGGAAATCGGAACTTTATTCTTAAGTTTCATAAAATCTTCCTATTATTACCATCTTTCAATTATCCACTGCAGTACTGGGAAGCACCCCCACCAGCCGTTCCTTCTAACTGGTTATGCTGCTGACACAGTGCCACTGAAGTTTGTCAAGCTGCTATACATAAGGTGGAGACAGGAAAATACAGAAGCTCAATCATCCCCTCCGTACACAATCAGGCAGCAGCTCCATCACTTTAACATGAAGGGTACAGCAGCTCTCCGCTGAAGAAGCTGCAGGAACAGCTCTAGATCGCCCTCATCTGCTAAAGCCTGAGAAGGCAGTCATAACTCATAAGCGCTCTGATTTTTAGCTTCTGTTCCTTACAGATTCTGTCAAGGGTTTGTTCCCCATCTTTGCTAGATGATGTTATAATTAAACCCGGTCCAATGGGTATTTTTAAGAGATTGGGAAGTTTTTAATTTGACTAAGGTGACTGCATGGCGCGTCCGCAGCTGCAACATTGCTGCGGTGCACATGAAAAAATAGACAATCCTGCTGCACAGCTTTAACTTAAAGAGGAACAGTTTTTTTTTGTTTGTTTGTTTTTACATTGGCCCCTTGATTTTACGCTATTACATCATGTTCTACTCACCCATATAAGTTTTGTGTCATTTGGAGCCGTTCTGAAGATATTCCGTTTAGGGATGCACGATATAATGGGCC